TAAGACGAAAACAGAGTGACTTGTGTACGCGCGTTTCACCTGCACCAGAGGCACTCAGAAGTGCGCGCGCGTGTGTTTTCCTCAGTATCCCGGCATGCACCGCTTTATTTAGTGTTGTATCTCCGGGAGATGTCAGACACAGCCCTCTCTCTCTCTCTCTGCTCCACCGAGGAGACAAAACCCAGCATATCTCTCCTCTCAACAGCCCGCAAACAGCAGAGCCGACCCCATCCTTACCACCAGACACACACTAATCTCAGCCCGTCTTCCGGTAGGTGTCGGCCGCTTCTTTGCGCTTCGCTCCCGGTGTAAAGCGCGCTCGGGGGCAGGTCGCATCTCAGCTGCACCTGCTTCTGCTTCTGCTCGAGCCGCTGACTGAAACAAAAGAGCGATGTTTTCAAAGAAAGCCTACTGCGCTGCATGGTTTAGAAAGCAATACTGCCTCGTATATTTTAAGTACACAGTTTAGCACTTGCATTGATGTAGGTTGTTATTGTTTACTGCTTGTTGCGTATTTTCGGACGGATGAGATCATTAGCCGGTGGCTGATTATTATGACAGTAACTAGAGACGATTGTGAAGATGGGTGCTATAAAGTGGCATATAGATGTCACTGAAAACATTTTTCGACACGTTCTGGTTGATTGTTTTGGATGTCACGAGAGTTGTGCGAAATGAATTTTAGATCATTTCTGTTTATTTATCATGCTTATGATACTAAAAAAATCATCTGCTTTTAAGTCATTCTCGATTATTTTTGTGATTTATTTGTATTTTTATTGATGCGTTAACATTTATTTGCTTCAAATCAGTTATTTGAAAATCTATTCATTCGATCTGGCAGATGCATATGCGATATTGTTTAGGACACGTGCTGTCGTTTCTGGGTCGTTCACAGGTTCTGAGTACAGGTCGCATCTCAGCTGCACCTGCTTCTGCTTCTGCTCGAGCCGCTGACTGAAACAAAAGAGCGATGTTTTCAAAGAAAGCCTACTGCGCTGCATGGTTTAGAAAGCAATACTGCCTCGTATATTTTAAGTACACAGTTTAGCACTTGCATTGATGTAGGTTGTTATTGTTTACTGCTTGTTGCGTATTTTCGGACGGATGAGATCATTAGCCGGTGGCTGATTATTATGACAGTAACTAGAGACGATTGTGAAGATGGGTGCTATAAAGTGGCATATAGATGTCACTGAAAACATTTTTCGACACGTTCTGGTTGATTGTTTTGGATGTCACGAGAGTTGTGCGAAATGAATTTTAGATCATTTCTGTTTATTTATCATGCTTATGATACTAAAAAAATCATCTGCTTTTAAGTCATTCTCGATTATTTTTGGGATTTATTTGTATTTTTATTGATGCGTTAACATTTATTTGCTTCAAATCAGTAATTTGAAAATCTATTCATTCGATCTGGCAGATGCATATGCGATATTGTTTAGGACACGTGCTGTCGTTTCTGGATCGTTCACAGGTTCTGAGTAAAAAACGCAACACATTCTCTCTTGTGTCCCTAACCTTGTAAATGTCTTCTGGTGTAATTATATGAATTTTTGGAATTTTTGATTGTTGCGCTGTCCGCAATGCAGGTGCCGCTGTTCTGACGATTTGTGCTACCCTGTCAGATTTTGCTACCTCCCATTAAAACAGATAGTAGCATAATTCGATAGCGAAAAGTGCTACCTATCAGATTTGGCTTCTAGCATGATATTAATAAGGTGTGAGGCTTTATTAACATGTACACCTATCCCAACCCTAAACCTACCCTTACAGTGTTGGTAGCATAATCTGATAGGTAGCATTATTTGTCAGAACACCGTTTATGATCCTGCTCATCCCCAGCCATTCTCACGTGCATGTGTTGAAGTGCACTGGCCAATCAGATGCTGCCATGAAAGTCCCACATGTTGTTAATCATGATTTTTGTATGGTCTTCATTTATTTAATAAGTGGTTATTTAATAATAGAACCGAAAAGCAGTGACGTTTCTAATAATAACCGATAATCAGTTGCTATTAACCTGCTGCTGTTTTTGTGCCCTGCATAATGTCATCATACTAGCTTACATCATGCAGGAGTATGTAGTGGGTGTGACTACATACTGAAGCACTGGATATTGGATGTTTCATGTTTGTGTTCAGTGACGTTTCTAATAATAACCGATAATCAGTTGCTATTAACCTGCTGCTGTTTTTGTGCCCTGCATAATATGTCATCATACTAGCTTACATCATGCAGGAGTATGTAGTGGGTGTGACTACATACTGAAGCACTGGATATTGGATGTTTCATGTTTGTGTGTGTGTGTGTGTGTGTGTGTGTGTGACGTGACTATCAGTACTAGGATATAACAGTGTTTAGAGTCTCCTCTAAAGCTGCAGCTCATTGATTATTAATGCAAGAGAAGGAGAGAGGATTTGGAGGGCAAGAAAGAGAGCTGTTAAGGGAGAGTGTGAGGGATAGTACGGGGGAAAAAACCACAGAGTTGAGTACTAATGTCAGGGGGATTCTTTTGTCTCATGTGGAGCGGGGCGGGGGAGGCCTCACCCTCTGACTGTAGGGACCAGCATCAGTCAGATCAGAGCAAATGTCAGCATCAGCACTCTAAAATGTCTACCAGCCCATAAATGGCTCCTAAAGGAGGGGTGTGGGAGTGAGTCTTCACATATGCCATGGAATATCAGTTCTGAAGGATGGTCAATGCTCCCAGCGCCTGTGATTTAACGGTTAATTTACGGTAAGCAGATGGATGCGGGATACAGATGGTGATGGGTGCACTTTGTTTCTGATGCTCACTTGATGCCTCATCAGACTATAAATAAGTGTGTTATGATTTGGTTATTACACTAGGGTTATCTTTTGAAATATTGTGTGAATTTACAGACTAGTGTGCGGTAAACGCCAAATAGGATGGCTATGTGCTAAGATGCCTACAAACGTACTTATACATGCAAAATGCCCCAAAAAAATTGTTTTGTTTCACACAAATTATGAATACATAAGCAGATTATAGATTAATAAAGAGTTATTTTCATGTAGTTCATGCACTGTGCTGAGCACTTGATTTTGTTAACACTATCAGTTAGGTTTAGGGGTAGAGTTTAGTGTAGCTGGTACTGAACATTATTTTCAAATGCTACCTTATTCTTCAGTGTGGAAGTAAGCCCATGGGCAAGACTTCTGGTTCATTAGCCACGGTAGGGAAATAACGAGAAGAATAACAACGTGCAGTAAACAGTAAAACTGTTTGCACTACAAACTAGTGTCTTCATACAGTTGAGGTCAAAAGTTTACATTCCCCTTTCAGAATCTGCAAAATGTTCTTGCATGTTATTGTTTATTTAGTACTGACCTGAATAAGATATTTCACATAAAATATGTTTACATATAGTCCACAAGAGAAAATAATAGCCTAGTTGAATTTATAAAAATTAATATAAATTCCCTTAATACTGTGTTCTTAACTGAATGATCTTCAGAAAAATCATTCAGGCCCCACAAATTCTTTGGTTTTCCAGCATTTTTGTGTATTTGAACCCTTTCCAACAATGACTGTGATTTTGAGATCCATCTTTTCACACTGAGGACAACTGAGGGACTCATATGCTACTATTACAGAAGGTTCAAATGCTCACTGATGCTCTAGAAGGAAAAACAATGCATTAAGAGGCATGGTGATGGAGATGTGTACATTTTTCTTATTTTGCCTAAATATCATATTTTTTTCCATTTAGTACTGCCCTTCAGAGGCTACAGAAAATAGTTACATGTGTCCCAGAAGACAAAATAAGTAAAATTTACCCTGATTTTCAAAAAGTTCTTAAAAGACAGAAAAGACTCTTAATGCATCGTTTTTCCTTCTCATGCGGGAAAAATAAGGTGGATATACCATCAACCTTTTTCATACCATCAACTGGCGCAATACACACAACAATCAACGTAATAAAACCTTGCCAGACACAGCTACAGATTACAGATAACTGAACACTCTTTTAGTGCCACTCACTGGACATTACACTTTGTAAAATCTTGCAAAACATGTACGAAGCAATGTAATATCATTTCACAGAAATGTCGGCAAAGGCACATTTTCCCAATGAGCCTGGGTTGAACAAAAGTCCTTCTACATCTGGAATTCAAAGTCTAATTTAAAGCTGAAAATAAGCAGAATGTGAAAAACAAATAAAACAAAGAAATCTTCTAATGTAAAATAAATAACAAATATGTCAGGTGCTGCACTAATTCTAGGCCACTAATCAAAGAAATAAATTTGTGACGTTGATCATGTCTCTCGTTGTACAGATTATCTCACATGCTGGCGAACATGATCATCAGGTTCTTGTGGAGTTCATGCAGCTCAAGTGCTGTTGTTATTGACGCAAAACCAAATGTTAGTACCTACGGTATGATGTTGTTATGAAGCATGATATTAATAAGGTGTGAGGCTTTATTAACATGTACACCTATCCCAACCCTAAACCTACCCTTACAGTGTTGGTAGCATAATCTGATAGGTAGCATTATTTGTCAGAACACCGTTTATGATCCTGCTCATCCCCAGCCATTCTCACGTGCATGTGTTGAAGTGCACTGGCCAATCAGATGCTGCCATGAAAGTCCCACATGTTGTTAATCATGATTTTTGTATGGTCTTCATTTATTTAATAAGTGGTTATTTAATAATAGAACCGAAAAGCAGTGACGTTTCTAATAATAACCGATAATCAGTTGCTATTAACCTGCTGCTGTTTTTGTGCCCTGCATAATGTCATCATACTAGCTTACATCATGCAGGAGTATGTAGTGGGTGTGACTACATACTGAAGCACTGGATATTGGATGTTTCATGTTTGTGTTTGTGTGTGTGTGTGTGTGTGTGACGTGACTATCAGTACTAGGATATAACAGTGTTTAGAGTCTCCTCTAAAGCTGCAGCTCATTGATTATTAATGCAAGAGAAGGAGAGAGGATTTGGAGGGCAAGAAAGAGAGCTGTTAAGGGAGAGTGTGAGGGATAGTACGGGGGAAAAAACCACAGAGTTGAGTACTAATGTCAGGGGGATTCTTTTGTCTCATGTGGAGCGGGGCGGGGGAGGCCTCACCCTCTGACTGTAGGGACCAGCATCAGTCAGATCAGAGCAAATGTCAGCATCAGCACTCTAAAATGTCTACCAGCCCATAAATGGCTCCTAAAGGAGGGGTGTGGGAGTGAGTCTTCACATATGCCGTGGAATATCAGTTCTGAAGGATGGTCAATGCTCCCAGCGCCTGTGATTTAACGGTTAATTTACGGTAAGCAGATGGATGCGGGATACAGATGGTGATGGGGTGCACTTTGTTTCTGATGCTCACTTGATGCCTCATCAGACTATAAATAAGTGTGTTATGATTTGGTTATTACACTAGGGTTATCTTTTGAAATATTGTGTGAATTTACAGACTAGTGTGCGGTAAACGCCAAATAGGATGGCTATGTGCTAAGATGCCTACAAACGTACTTATACATGCAAAATGCCCCAAAAAAATTGTTTTGTTTCACACAAATTATGAATACATAAGCAGATTATAGATTAATAAAGAGTTATTTTCATGTAGTTCATGCACTGTGCTGAGCACTTGATTTTGTTAACACTATCAGTTAGGTTTAGGGGTAGAGTTTAGTGTAGCTGGTACTGAACATTATTTTCAAATGCTACCTTATTCTTCAGTGTGGAAGTAAGCCCATGGGCAAGACTTCTGGTTCATTAGCCACGGTAGGGAAATAACGAGAAGAATAACAACGTGCAGTAAACAGTAAAACTGTTTGCACTACAAACTAGTGTCTTCATACAGTTGAGGTCAAAAGTTTACATTCCCCTTTCAGAATCTGCAAAATGTTCTTGCATGTTATTGTTTATTTAGTACTGACCTGAATAAGATATTTCACATAAAATATGTTTACATATAGTCCACAAGAGAAAATAATAGCCTAGTTGAATTTATAAAAATTAATATAAATTCCCTTAATACTGTGTTCTTAACTGAATGATCTTCAGAAAAATCATTCAGGCCCCACAAATTCTTTGGTTTTCCAGCATTTTTGTGTATTTGAACCCTTTCCAACAATGACTGTGATTTTGAGATCCATCTTTTCACACTGAGGACAACTGAGGGACTCATATGCTACTATTACAGAAGGTTCAAATGCTCACTGATGCTCTAGAAGGAAAAACAATGCATTAAGAGGCATGGTGATGGAGATGTGTACATTTTTCTTATTTTGCCTAAATATCATATTTTTTTCCATTTAGTACTGCCCTTCAGAGGCTACAGAAAATAGTTACATGTGTCCCAGAAGACAAAATAAGTAAAATTTACCCTGATTTTCAAAAAGTTCTTAAAAGACAGAAAAGACTCTTAATGCATCGTTTTTCCTTCTCATGCGGGAAAAATAAGGTGGATATACCATCAACCTTTTTCATACCATCAACTGGCGCAATACACACAACAATCAACGTAATAAAACCTTGCCAGACACAGCTACAGATTACAGATAACTGAACACTCTTTTAGTGCCACTCACTGGACATTACACTTTGTAAAATCTTGCAAAACATGTACGAAGCAATGTAATATCATTTCACAGAAATGTCGGCAAAGGCACATTTTCCCAATGAGCCTGGGTTGAACAAAAGTCCTTCTACATCTGGAATTCAAAGTCTAATTTAAAGCTGAAAATAAGCAGAATGTGAAAAACAAATAAAACAAAGAAATCTTCTAATGTAAAATAAATAACAAATATGTCAGGTGCTGCACTAATTCTAGGCCACTAATCAAAGAAATAAATTTGTGACGTTGATCATGTCTCTCGTTGTACAGATTATCTCACATGCTGGCGAACATGATCATCAGGTTCTTGTGGAGTTCATGCAGCTCAAGTGCTGTTGTTATTGACGCAAAACCAAATGTTAATACCTACGGTATGATGTTGTTATGATGTAATGGTGGCTGCTGGGAAGCTCCCTTGTTTCAGGAAGTGCTCATGTGATTCACTATAGATGACATTATCACTCGCAGTCGTACCTTAATATTGGTATTGCTCATAGTAGGCATACAAACTCCTTATATACCTCACTTTTCATTATTCATAAATTATTCATAGATTTTGCCTGCTCCACAGAGCCTCGTAGTCTCTCTCTTTCTGTCTTTAAGTAATGGAGGTCATCTGTCAGTGTCCTTTGTTATGTAGCTGCCGTCTTGAGCATAACTAAACACTTTTTAAAATCTTTTTAAGCACAGCAGGTTTGACCGTGGCAAAGTCATTCTCACTGTGTGAAAATCTGTGTGTGTTGTGCTGTGAAAGAGAGACCAGATACGCTATTAATGACACCCAACTGATGTTATAAGTAGATTGTGTTGGTGTCCACCTACAAAATGGTTGATGTGTATAAGCCATATGGAGTTTTACTGCGTTTGTGTACTATGTGAATTTGCATTGAGGTTGCAAATGGGAATCGTAATTTGCATTTAAGGAAGTAGAATTAGTAGTCAGATTAAGTTCAAAGAAATATATCGGTTGTAGGTTTATTTCTTTTCTTTTTTTTAACATGAATTTCCCATACATTTTATCATAACCAGAACATATGGGGAATCATGGTTTGAAATTAGGCTACACCTAGCCTATGTGACAGTTTTATTTAATTTATATTGTTCAAAAGTTTTATAGACTGTTCAAAAGTTTGGGGTCATTTAGTTTTATTTTTATATTTTTCCTGAAAGAAATTAATATTTTTATTCAGCAAGGATGTATTACATTCATAAGAATCGATGGTAAATACATTTCTGATGTTTAAAAAAAAGCCGTTCTTTTGGGGGGAAAACAATTATAGTTTCCACAAAAATATTAAGCATCATTGTTGTCAACATTTATAATAGTAAGAAATGCTTCTGAAGACTGGAGTAATGGTTACTGAGAATTCAGCTTTGCAATCACAGGAATAAATTACATTTTAAAATATATTAAAATCATATAATAATATTTTAAATTGTAATGTTTCACAATATTACTGTTTATACTGTATTTGTGACCAAATAAATACTGATTTGCTGAGCATAAGACACGACTTAAGCATAAGAGACAAAGGGCCAAATTTACTAATAGCTTGCGCCAGAACAAACCCTCATTTGGCGTAAAAAATAATGTTAGGATTTACTAAAGACACGCAGTGGGAAATTAGCGCTGAAAAGGCATGGACACAGTTATATTTGTAATTCATATTGAGTATGCATTTGTAGGAGTTTCCCTTTCGATCGGTAAATTTATGGGAGGACAGTATTTAAATGAATCACGCAACACAATTTACTAAGATTTGCGCTCGTCAATTCACTGGTATTTGCGACATTATTTAACGCCCAAAAAACATGTCTTAAAGCAGGCGGCAATTTGTGCTGCTCTTGGTAGATTGCGCTGGTCATTATGGAAATGAGATGTTGTGTCTGTGTTCTTTATTGTGTGCATTGTCAGTAAATCACCCGCAAAAATTTTCCACATTTATGGAATTGCGCTCTAATGCTAATTTGCCCTGTTTAGTAAATCTGGCTCAAAATAGTAATAGCAATAAATAACAATAAAAAAAAAATAATAATAATTAAAAAATATTTGAAAAGTGAGTCTTTTCTAAATTCTGAATTTTGCCTAACCCTGTTTGTTGGTAGTGTGTTTCTTTGTTTCTGTAAATCTTAACATTTGCATCTTTATTGCGTGATATACTGTATGAATGAGGAGAAATGGAGATAGCAAGAAAAAGAGAGAGGACACATGAGGAGGGACGACAGCAAGTGAATTAATAAAAGAGCCGGGTAGAGTCTACCGACTGTCTTCTCTGTGCCGCACCCAGCGTGAGCACAGCCTGGCATTACTCATTCATGCTCATAGGCTTTTCATGAGTTCCACTGACTCGTAGTCTACCTCGAACGTCTCTTACCCTCTTTTTAGCCACACTGTTCAAATATGTGTATATATATGTTTTGTTTTCAGAAACCCACAGTGTTTTTGTTTTCCCTTTCAGACTTTAGAGCGAATCCAGTCTGCTGCTTTTCCCGTCCTTTTGTTGTGTCTGTCTTGTGGAGGGCTGTGGTTAGTCTGTCAGAGTGAGAGTGTGTTAAAGGCATCTGCTCCTGTCTTCTGATCAAACACACTACCATTTTTGGCTGCTCCTTTTTCTCGTTTTCAACTTGACCTTATGAGAAAAACGTGACCATGCATGTTTTTGCAAGCCTGAAATAAGTTGCCGTATAAATCACTGCAGTGTCCAGATGAAATGTCCACCGAGTGTCGCTAAAAGTGATTGATTTTCTCCTATAAAGTCTTAAAGTCTATATAGTGTTGTATCAATTTTTAATAATTTTTAACACAACCAATGGGAATGCATTTTTCCTAATGCTTACCCTGGCAGACCTTGATTTTACCAAGTGTGACATGTTCCTGGATCAACATCTTTGTTGACCCTGGAACAACATTGTGATTAACCAATCAGATTTGAAGAACCAGTTTATAGTTTTTGTGAAGTTTAGGCTTACAGTCAGTGTTTGGTGCTTGTACATCAGTGTCATTAATTTATCATTTCCTCTGCTTTTACTGATTACGCATTAAGGTTAGGTTTAGGTATAGGGCTATGGTCAAGACTAAATTTTTGGATTAAAATGTTGTTGTCAACAAAATATGTTGACCTAGGAACACATCTAACTCAGCAAAATCAGGACGTGCCTTACCCTGACCATAATTCCTAGATTTGAAATGTAATTCTTTAAATCTAAAATTCAAACTTTCACAATTCAAGACATTATTAATTGATAAAGTTGCAGCACTTCTACACCACTACTGCTTATTTCACTTGGAAACTGCAGCAGTTTGCTCCCGCAGTAAAGTTTTTCACATTTTGTAGCATCACGTTTTTCTGCAAGAGAGCAGGCAGTTAATATAATATAAAATAGTTCGCCATGTAGCAGAATAAATGTGAAGTATGATTAGCAATGCAGACCTTCGTCTTTCTGAATGGCTGGATTTGTCCGTTTTATTGTGTTGCATTGTCATGATAGGAGGAAGTGCACTCAGAGGAGAGTGTCTGCCTAAGTTCTCTGTTAATAATTTAAACTACACTGGTCTTTATGAGGACCCTTTTACTAAATCAAAGCCTTTCTTAAGAAGTCATGATGGGGTCACTTTCTTTTATCTTCTGGTAGAAGCAGAAAAAAAATTAAACATGGCGTTAGATTAATACATTAGCCCACAAGCGAGTATATTTGTAGCTGGA